TCTCTCTCTCTCTCACACACACACACACACACACACACACACACACACACACACACACACACACACGAGTAGAAAGTCATCTCAGATAGGTAAGCCTGCTCTGACCTGATTGCCCAGTCCACCCTCATCTAAGCTGATAACCCATTTCATCCTTTCTGACTAAGTGAGATTGGAAGGAAACCGAAAACTAACAATGTCCGAGCAAAACTACAATTGGAATTTCTGATTTAGAGTTGTGTGAAACAGGAAAAAACACCGTCAACACCCACAATTCAAATTTGTAAAATGATGGGAATAAACCATGTCAACTAAACCAAGCTAATATTCACCCAAGAGAGAATAAAATAGAAAATCAAAGCCCACACTGACTTTTCTCAAGGCATAGAAAGGAACGACAACAGTCCGGATCGTTATATACCGAACTTGGTTTTCAGAGAACAATGGCGCCATGGTCAATACCTTGCACAGAATGGCAGAAAAATCTCAAATGAAAAACACGGGCTCTAGCACCCCTTTATAAAGAGCAAAAGACCACTCAAACATCCTATCCAGTAATTTATGTGCACTCTATCAAATCCTTCGTCCAACGCAAATAAAATTAGTCCCTTCCACCAGCTGGTCTAGCTCAGTTGGTACACCCATGAACTGTTGAAATAAAGAACTGTGAACTTTGTGAAGCAGATAATTCCGAACTACCTGGGGCTGCTCAGTGCAATGATGATATCTCAAGGCTGTCACCCCATTGAAAAGAAAACCCGCTCACCTCTCTGTTTGCCTCTGCTGCTAAAACACCGTAGGTTGTGATCACAATGTCGTAATCCAAGAGAGCACTGCATTCCCTTGCTCGATCTGAACCATAGTGCGCATAGACTGACACAGCACCTTCTTGCACATGTGTTTCGCACTCTGCCTGCAGATGCGCAATACCAAAGCCATCACTGAGTCAGTGGACTACTGTCTTCACCTGAATACACGACCAGGTCATTATCGCTGCATCTGGTCTGAAAGTTGCCCCAAATACAGCTATAATGACTGGGCGATGTATACAAGTGAAGACGGTGGCAGTGGATTAGACATTCAACACAGCGCCACCCGCACAACCGCCACGATTTAGCACTTCCGTTTTATGATTTGTGTGTTTCATCCTTGCGCATAGGTCCCACTAGTCTGCTCTCTATCATTTCACAATGGTCTTAATGGCGTTGCTCACATGATATTTCAATTTCCTATCCTATTTGAGTCAATCAACTTCACTGCATGGAAGCAGCCATAACAATCCATATCAAATTAGTTATCTTTCACCTTACTGCGGTCAGCCTCTGACTGTGGGCATAAAGTTGAACTGACATTTCGTTAAATTTGGAGCATTTTTTTCCTGTGACAAAATTGAGACTTTTTTTTTAACCGTTTGAGCCAAATTCTCTTATTCCAGTGTGCACAATACCATGTTGAGCATTGGAAGTCCGCCGTACGCCCAGTATACTATGCTCCAGGGCTATCTATTGGATGTACCTGGTCACTTTTGGAGGGGGAACGGGCGAGTAAGCAGGGCGAAAGATAGACAAACAGAGGTTTAGAAAGCATGGACGATGTATTTCAGCAGCAGCATTCCAAATCTGAAAGTCTGGATGTCGCATTGTATGCAGTGTGTCACTGCACCATAGGCAGGGCTTGGCCAAAAAGGGCCCAAAATCACACCACTTTCCAGCCCCACAGCGTGGCCCTTCGTCAAGCACACACCTGGGTAACACTGCACTTCTCTGAATAGCTGAAGACATTTCTGCTGAGTGCTTGGAGTTCCCACACACTCCAAGAATACCAGCTCCCTTTCTGGAGAGACCGTGCCAGGGCAAGGCCTTCAAGGTCAGAGTCAGCCTTGCCATCAGTGTTGCACACCCCGACAATCGGCGTCCCTTGACTGCCCTGCTGCCGACCAGCCGACCGGTCAGCTGATCGACACCTACCGGTCGGGGGTCGTCGGCACCCCACACAAATGTTTTTTGTTTTTTTTTGGGTCCAGAACCCCTACTAACCCCACCAACACCACTGTGATGTGTGAAAACTGTCTCTCTCTCTCTCTCTCTCTCTCTCTCTCTCTCTCTCTCTCTCTCTCTCTCTCTCTCTCTCTCTCTCTCTCTCTCTCTCTC